TAATATTATCTATGTAAGTAGTATAAAGTCTAATTTCTAAATCAAAACTTCGAATTAGATGTTAACTTAATTCACAATTATTAGTGTGAAAGATATTTTTGGAAGTAAACTTTTTCATGATCTTAGATTAGACAATAATATATTATTTAATCTCATTTTAAGTGAACATATCATTTAACAAAAGTCATATGCAACGAAAGTTTCATTATGTTATGACACTATTTGATGATTAAGATTTACCTTATTAGATAATAGTGACAGTGTTAGGTATACGATAAACGGACTGATTTAGTGACATTAGCAATGAAATATAGGTCCTGCTGTGAGAGAGATAAGGTAAGTGCACATTGCATGCTATAAAGCAGTGTTCTCCAAAGTGGTCGATATCGTCCCCTCGGGGCAAAATCAATTTCAGTCAAATTAAATGGACATTGATTTTGTTGGCCGATGAGGCTTAAAATTTGTCTACTGTTTGGTATTTTCTGAACGATATGTCTACTTATTGTCCTTAATTTAAATGAGAAAATTATGGCAAGTTGATTGTCTTAACAAAACACAAGGTTGATAAATTGCTATTTATTAAGAATCAATAAAGAAAAAACGGAAGATAGGATTTTTTATTTGCTTACTTGAAGGTCTGTGATATCAATTCATTTTGGAAATGGGGTCTTCTACACAAAAATGTTTGGAATCCCTGCCATAATCCTTTATTTAATGATAATAATATGTTTATTCGAGACGTATAATTTGTCCAGAAATATCAATTTGTAACTTCACTCAATTAGCTTGCAGATTATAAAACACAAGCTTTCTTCCAGCGGCTTAGCGACCACGATCCTCTATTATACTTAAAAACCTTCCTTTTGAATGAAATAAAAATGTCTTTATTCAAGTAAGCTCGTTTCAAGCACTTTTGAATCGTCCAAAAAATTTTTTCACTCTGTATATTGATTATTACCAATTAAAATTCTTCAGCCTACGGGAAATACCTATTTTATCAACGTAAGCGTATGGCGGCGTCAAATACTTTCTGCATTTTATTGATATTTAATATTATTTGTTTAATACTTTAGTTTTAACTTTAGAATGATGAACATCTCCTTAGTCGTAAAGAAAAGAAAACGGAGTGTTTTTAATATCTTGTCCTACTAATTCCCTATTTGGAATCATTATCATTTCAGTGTTAAGACGCCCACTAAGGGTCGTGGATCTCCTCCACGGCTCTGTATTGCATTGAATGGTTTCGCTCGTCCTTTTTCTTTGGTCATACTCTGTAAGAATGGTGTCTTTGAGTTCGTAATTCAGCTCTTCACTATAAAACAACTTCTATGCTGTAACAGTGATGTGTTCGACGTCCGGTTCGAGGCTGTTTTTATTACTAAGTAATTGTGGTACTTTCTTAGGTGATTTCTTTGATTTTTATTATATGTCAAAATTTTTAAGTTCCCTTTTATTCAAATTGTAAATATTGGTCTGGGAACGATATGGTTTTTAGCCAACTTCAAAAAAGGAGGTTTTTTATATGTTGGTCTGTATGTTTGTCCTCTGATATCTAGCAAACTATGTAGATAGAATAGAATATACTTTATTGTACACACACATAACACTTACAATTTCAATTTCAAAAGGAGACGTACATATGGCGGCCTTATCACTAAAAGTGATCTCTTTCAGGCAACCTTGGGATGTAAAATCATAAATGAGCTAATAATAAAGGGGTAGTGGATGGTGTACATATATACTGTGTAGGAAGAAAAACAATATAAGGATACTTATTTCACACATATAGGTACATATATACAGATATCATACATACATATGAACTTCATGCTTACTTGGACAAATAATGTTGTTTAACGAGTTTCTTAAAGATATTAATGGACTTAGCTTTCCTAATCGAAACAGGTAATGCATTTCACAATCGCACGGCTTGGACTGTAAAAGAGTTATCGTAGAAGATTGTACAATGAATGCATCGGCATATCCAATTGCAAATTTTTAGATGATCTCAAGAGGCGAGAATGAGAATCTTTGGTAAATTTGCAGCGATCCTTTAAATAAGCAGGGGTAACGGGATTGATGTCGGATTGCAATTATTCTTTTTTTGTTTAATTGCTTAGCTTTTAACTTAGGATTCAATACAGTTTCACTATAATCGGTTTAGTAATTTTGAAGATATAACCTATTAAAAATTAAGCTACCTATAAAATTTTACGGAATTATAAAAAGAATTAAAATTGGACGTACTTTTTAACCAACAACATAAAAAAGGAGGCTTTCGTATGTACGACATTAACCGACATCAAAAAAGTGGTTATCAATTTGACTTGAACGTATATAATTTTGTTGGAATATGGTTAGTCTATATGTGCTTCTAAACATGTCTGCGACATTTTGTAGGTGTATATTATATATGTGTGCATGTTCGTTCACGTATTTCTCTTAAATTATAGATTGAATTGAAATGATGCTTTTTTGTTTGATTAATAAAAGAGAAAACTTACTAAATGAGTTAAGAAATGAACTAAGGATGGAACTGTGACCCAAATAAAAACGAATTGCTTCCAGAATAATGGGTTAGGTTAAGTTAGAACTGCTACCATCACAGAAAATGTTTATCCGGTAAATATATGTAGGTATGTTTAAATACAGACCATTATTTTTTATGTTATAAGCAAGTAATATGGATCGGAGATAACTTCTATTACTAAAAAATTAAAGAAATAAAATACAATAAAATTAATTAACCCAATTTCAAAAAAGCCATAATAAAGACACGCGACTGAAAGGAGATAAATAATACCATACATTTTAATCATCAATAAAATTCGAAACTAAATAAGTAGATACACGCACAATTATTTTGAGTTAGATATTTATAACAAAAATATCAGGATAAACTTATTGTGTTTCGATAAAAATTTACGGTATTATTTTTCTCTTTTCAGTGGTTTCTCTTTATCACGACTTTTATTGAAGTTGATTTAATTTTTTTTTCAATCATTTTCTTTTATTTTTGTAACTGTCGTTGCTTTTGTTAGAACTGATAAGTTATTGCTTGTTCTTCTTAGCAGCCAAACAACGCCCTGAACGAGTAAAAGAATATCGGACTATTAAAAAGTACTTAAAATAAGTTTATTTGTATAAAAAATATTTTCACATTAATTTTGAACGACAAAGAAGGATTTAAAAACTATACTTTTGTAATCGATTAGTTTTGTTTGAGTTACAATTGACTAAATAGGTACAAAGCTAGGTATTTTGTGACTTATATCGTTCAAACTCAAAGGAAAAGTAAATGAATTAGTGTGCTTATAGGAAAAACACTTTCTTCGTCTAAATATCAACTGAACCTCCAACCTTGGCTTGATCGACAGCCTTACGTCGAGCCGATATTAATTACGTAAGCGAATAGAGGTTTATTATACATATAATTAATTACCATATGATTTAGAAGTAAATAACATTAGTAAAGTTGACTGCTTTCATGATATGATATATATGATATGATATTACTATTTCATAAAGTGACGTTAATATAATTTTAACATTGACAGGTGAAATGATAATTTAGTGATTATTGAAATTTCGTATTTCAAAGTATATTAATACAACTTGAAGTTGAATATCTAAATATCATTTATTCAGTCTAGACTGGTACAAGTGAAACTGAAAATTTAAGACCTTGTACTGAAAAAAACTGGAAAGCCAGTCTGATTCATGTTAAAAGAATAAAGCTTCACGTCTGCTTTAGTTTCTTTATTGTACAAAATTTTATTTGTATCGAATAATGGTACCTCAATATTTATATTCATTTTTTAATGTTACTATAATGAAGGTTGTATTACTTATTCTATGTGAAGAATTCAGTGATGTCATACCATAGACGTTTAACCAAATAAAACCCACATTAAAAGATTATAAAGGTTTTGTCACCTTAATGAAGCCTGTATGTAGGTACATAGGTTGTTTAAACGCTCGGCGCAAGGTCTGGGCTGCAGGGAGGGTGATCCAGCACTGAGATCCCGATCGCTCCAAAATCTCTTGGGTAATAATGGTTGCACGTTGGGCCGGAGCATTGTTATGGTGGAAGTTCCAGCTACTAAGACGTGACGTGGTGACGCTTTTACTTTAGTTCACCGGTGACTTGAGGCAAATAAACCTCAGTGTACCAGGTCGTTGACAGTTTTCCGTGTGTTTAAAACGATTCTAGGTATCTCCAAAGAAAAGAACGGTCACCCTTTTTTTAATCGACCTTTGTGGATAAACCATGGTTGGAGTAGGCTCGTCTTCGAAGATCCATATTTCCGATCGTGATTTGTTAGGAACATTGAAATAATAAAACCAAGTCTTGGTTCCAGTCACGATTGAGGAATATCAAGTTGATGTTGTCGGCTTTAAAATTCAGTTAAAAGAGTTTGCGAAGTGGAGCTTGTAAAATTACTTGTATTCAATAAAACATGGTTTTGTTTAATATAAATATTTTATATATATTATCAAATATTGACTAAATCCAAAGTCGCTCCCCCTAAAGGTTATTCAATGCAAATTAAAAGGATTAATTAAACACAGTAAAATTTACTCTTAACAAAATCGAATTATGCCAATTTTTACGCGTCTTGCGTTTGAATGCCTTTTCATATCAGAACAAAGAAATGATTTTATTAATATTGATAGAGTCCACAATATTAGATCGAAAATACAAAAGATTGATTCAAAATAAACACTTTTATTTACTCGCCATTCCGACCCATCAAAAAAGTCTATTACAAGATTCGTAATCTTTTTATGAGTGATCGCTTTGATACAGGGGAACAGCGAACTCATACAAAACCAATTTCATTCCAGACTCTCGACAAAAACTCTTCCGTAGCCGACGTAAAAGATTGTAAGTCACACCGTGGCGACCGCTGCCGAAACAAGTGTATGAATCGAGTTGCTCGATTTTACTACACTCATGTTCGTCTGGTTGGAATCTGGAATTTATTTATTCAGTTTGCGAGCGATCGCCGCGCGGTGTGGTTGTGTGTTATTCTGTGACGGTCGATGCTACAACTTCTCGGCCATCCCGATTGTCTTGCGTTTTCGAAGTTCAGTGTTGTGCTCGTAATAAATGACACAATGTGCTGACTGTTTCGTGATATTCTCAGTGTTTTTGTGTTTTGTTTCGTTTGTTGTGAAGTTTGGTTTTTGCATCAGAAGTGGATTTGGTTTACCGGCATCTCTAACTGCGTGAGTATTGTCTAATAAATGTTTGCGTTGCTAACATAAACTTGAGATTTGAGGTTAGAAATAATTACTTTTGTGTGATAACCTTATTTTAAGTGGAATATCTTCAACTACTTATCGATAACATGGCGTAATCGGTATTATCTGCGAATAGGGATGTTGCAAGTTATTTATTTATGATTAATCGATGATAATATCGTGATAATAATTAAATATCTGACATTAAAGCGGAACTTAAAATGAGAACAAATATTTATTAAATGTTGAATTAGAAGCCACTTAAATATCTGTTTATAGTAATTGATTGAAACGAGAAAGAGGCGACCTCAATGGCGCCAAAGACGTCTATTGACACAGTCCTTAGAGTTAAGTTTGCGAATCAAAGGTTGAGACTGGGTTTAAAGACTATTTTAGCTGCCGTCCCTATATTATTAGTATTTAGGTAGGAACAGAGGATGGCGAATTAACAGTACAGTTGTTTTTGCCCTTGGCCGCAACTGGATACAAGTGAAAATGTTTTTCTTTTCCCCAAAAAAGCTTTTAAATAAACCAGACAAATCTAAGAAATGTTAGGGGTAACTTTATTTTCTAGTTATTATCGAGGGATTTTCATACAAAACTAATTCGCATTTTGACCACGAGTCTTTAAAATAGGTGTGATGCAATATTCCAATTTTTAATTATATCTTACCTTTTTGAATGTTATTTCTTGGTACAAAACCAGTTGAACTTTGAAATTTTATAAGGGCCGGTATAGGATGGGTTACCGAAAATGTTTCTTCTCGAGCTGTCGCGTGTCATGAAAGGCAAGTTGATCAGGTGGTTCCCCTGAAATATTAAAAAAAAAAACTGATAATAATCCCTAAAGTAGTATACTGCAGAAAACTAAGTTTTAATAAGTCTGTACATTTTACAATGTTGAATATTTGTATAGTATTCTAAATGCACAAGTCCTAGATTTTGGTCGGTTTAATTTTAATAACACATTTTTTTATCGATTTCACTCTACAAAAGCGCGTGTAAAGTTAAATCAAAATGTTATTGCATTCTATTGTCACAATTATATTATGTATAATTGCACACTATTATCCTAGTTTGTTGTTGTTGTATTGGTCCGGGTTTTCCAGGATTTGTACTAGTTTGGAGGCATCAAGAGATAGCCCGGTTGGTTTTTGCATACTGTCCGGGGTATAATTGCAAGTTAGCGTCATGCGACACGCGATAACACGATCACAGTGACTTTCAACCAAATAGATACGTCAAGAATATGCTGTAATGCTGGGATTTTCCGAACTCTACTGGATTTACTAGGCAACTTCATCATGACAACTTCAGGTTGATTTTTGAACTAGCAAGAGATCTTTTGAAAAGATAAAAAAATTCTGGAATTGTTGAAAAATCTTGATTCGTTGTTGTTCTAATTTAAAAAGAGTTGTTCTTATTTGTTATAATGATCGATACAACCACAGGGTACAGCATTGTGAATGCAAAATTGAACAAATATATAGTAATGATCAAATATATAATTCAGACACTTTGGCAAACTAGGAATGCCGATGAAGGCAGTTTCTTTTTCTTCACGAAGCCACGAAAGCCACGAAGGATAGACAGATCTACCATTGTTCTAAAAAGAATTTCTGTTCTTTGACATTTGTATTTCATCGTACCGCGTAGCTACCTAAATTTCATACGCCAAGCGAAATTAATTCCAGGCAAACTAACGCTAACAGTTTTAATTGAACTTTAACGCATTAACTGTAAGAGAAAACGAGACGTAATGAATAGTTTATTCAATGAGATGGACAGAGAACAGAAAACTCATTACTATTTAATCGAAAATATGACCTGCTCCCTTCCTCCTAACTGTTCTATCCACAGCACATATAAGATTTCCTCCGGTCTCGTTCTTGCCAAAAATCCTACTTTACTTCTCGAAACTCCAATATGATAATATGAGTAGCTCGTTGGCGTACAAGATAAGCGCTGCGGCCCGCGATCGTTGTTGTTAAGCGACTTTCGCAATTGTCGATAACGGAATGGGTGATCAAAAATTATCATCTCGAGTTACTCTGTGCTTTGGAAATCACGTTAAGCCGTTGGTATCGACTGCATTTGCAATCGTTGATACCCTCCGATCCGCATTGGGCCAGCGTGGAGGGTCCATCCTCCTTAATTATTGGAGTGTAAAAGAGGATGGTTCTCTGATATTTCGAGGTAGAGAATCACAAATAAAATAAAAAACATAACTATTTTTGATTACTTAAATAAAATTAGCTGTTTTCCCGCGAAATTATTGTGGCTGGGGCTAACCGGAATGGACGACTATTTTCAAAAATGTCGGATACGTCGTTCACCATCGAAGTAGAATGTAGGAAAGAAGTAGAAGAGGTAACAAGGAAGAAGGTACATATGTGACAATTATAGAAAGGATTAATTTATTTGCAGGTGCGTAGCCAACACTATCAATGTGGGTATAAGCAAGAAGCTAACATGTGTTTTTATTGGTATTATTTGACCAATATGCAACTAAAACCGAGCAATGTTTAGTTGAACATGTTTAGTTGAACTGCGAGTTTGACGTGAATTGATTTGGGATCGTAAAATTAACAAACCATTAAATATTCAACAACAATTATTGTGAAATTTGTCAATGATTATCAAATCCTAAGTCTAAAGAAATTAATGTTGGGTCATATATTGATAATAACAAATAAGTCTTCTCTAAAATATACCAATTTCGTAAAAAACCGAATACAGTGTCACCTTATCGCCGTCAGAAGGTTGTACAGGTTTATAGTGCTATAAAACTTGATGCTATAGGTATCTATTCTTTTCACGCATCACATCACAACAGTTTGTGGTTGATTGTATTACCCTATCGACAAGGCTAGAAAAAAAATCAGCTTTCTGACAAATACATTTTTAGGTTTTTCCGAGTTGATGTTTTTACGATACTTATTTAACCTTACATGTTCACTTAGTAATTTTGAGTACATATTTGGTTCTGGGTTACGAAATACCCTTTTCAAAATAACACGCTAATTTATGATCATGTTTTCATGGACCGAAGAACCTAAAGCTAAATATCTCATATCATTTAATTATTTATTTTGTTTTATTGGAGGGGGCTAACTACTTGAATCACATAATTACTTATAATCTTTTTAAATAAGAGCAAATTAAAAGCCTCCACCAATCTGCAGTTCTTGAAATCGCGTAATATTTAAACTACAAAGCATTTATCAATTAAATTACAATCAAGAGTATTAATAAAATTAATAATTTTTTTTTTTTATTACATTCTCTGATATCATGACAAGAAAAATCAGCAATAGCTTTGACAGCCTTTGACTAAAGGCTTCTTTTCTTTATCTAGTTAGTGATGCGAAAAACTGCGGAACTGTAAAACAATTTCCTGGATCTCGAGCGCGTAATGCATTTGAAATGGATTTAGTTTTTTCATGTTTTCACTCCCATTGGGCTTGAACAGATGACTGAATACAAAGATCGCTAGACAGCATAATTTTAATTTATCTGTTTCTTTAGGTAGATAATTGAATCTGAATGTTTAAGTAACAACATATGCCATTATACGTCGTAGAAACATATTGGCACAGACAAGATCAAGGATGATCACTTGATTCCACTAATGTTCATAATAATGGCATTTCAATTATAGCAATTTCCGCTGTTTTGTCTACCTGGGGTCCAATATTATCAATGCAATAGCGTCCTACTAAAATCAATGGTGATAGGTATTTTTATTACATGTGTTCTAGTTACAAAACTTGTGTCTTTGGTTTGTTATTGAAACGCCATTGTTAATAGAATTGCGGCCCTTATTGACCCAACTGTCATTATTAATTTAATTTTGCTATGTCGCTTCTTATATTTTATGTGATCGTATGTGTTTGTGGGTCAATAAATGCTTTTTTTACCTTCTTTCTTAAGAGTTTTTTCAGATTATTGCTTGTAATAATGCAACATCGAAATAGGACATTATGACAAGTAATCATATTTATTATAATTTTACCTACATTACAAATATAATATACTGAAATGAATACACGTTTTTGCCTTGTTTTATAATGGCTTAGAAATTGTTTTGCCAATGTCAAGTTACACAATATTTGTTAGCACGACTGCAGTTAACATGTACTAATAAGCAACCAGTCGATATGTTCTTGACATCTTCAAGAAATAATAATAGAACAAATCTAACATCACTATAATCATGAGTTATATTATACCGGTACTTGATGTTGTCTTATACAAAGGTATTATTATATTCCGTCCAATGATTTGTTTGTTATGTTCTTCAAAGTCAAACTTATAAAAATGTGAATGCTATTAATCAATTTCGTTTTATTTGAGACACAAAGTATTTGTGAGATTTTTTCCTTGCATGTTCATCACCATCATCATAATCATCAGCCCTTTTACGTCTCATTGCAGGCTCAGGCCTTCCTTATGGATGGTTAAGGAGAATAGGCCATGACCCTTCACGCTGGCCCGATGCGGATTGGAGGGCATTAACGACTGCAAATGCAGCCGGGACCAACGGCTTAACGTGCCTTCCGAAGCACGAAGTAGCTCGAGATAATAATTTTTTGGTCACCCATCCCGTGACCGACCCTTGCGAAAGTTGCTTAACGACTACAATCGGGGGCCGCGGCGCTAATCCACTACGCCACCGAGCTACTCATGCATGTTATTTGTTAATAAATCACCTTTGTAACACATAGCCCGTATTGAATCTAACGTAACATTATTCAATATAAAACATATTATCCAATTGTGTAGTTTCAAATTGTACTTGAGATAAAACACTGGCAATATCACTTGACAATATCATATTGATGAAATATTACGTGTTTTCGAAATACTAGACATCTTCTTCCAAGACCATATCGATGAAATATTTTGTTTTTTTTTCCAAATAATAGATTTCTTCTTTTGTTTTAATTGCTTCTTTGCAGCCATTTTTTTTATTTCACATTAGTGATT